TGATCTGCGTGATCGCAGGGACTGGGGCCGCACTGCAAGCGTGGGGGCTCAGCACTCCGATGGTCGCGATCCGCTCCGACAAGATCCTGCTCCACGCCGAGGCGGTACTGGACGACTGGAAGCCGATGATGACTACGTTCATGCAGCAGGACGCGCAGAATGCCAACCTCCGCCTGAAGTGCCGACCGTCGCGTCACGGAGGCATCAATTGGGCCCTCCCAGGCGCTACTCAGGCGCAGCTCACAGCATCAAGGAGGACGCAACGAGGTTGGCTAGGGCAGGAGGCGCCCATCCGCAACATCATGGAGGTCCACATCGAGGGCTCGGTGGGGTACGATGCGCTGGAGGTGTACTGACAACTGATGACGCCCCTCACGCAGACGGTCCCGATCTCCCTCTCGGAGGCCTGCACCAGCAACCTTGCCGGGCCAGGGTACTGGTACGACCCTGCAGCCAGCGACCGCGCCGCTTCTCCTGGACGCTTGCGCTTATTTCTCGTCTCCGAGGCTGAAGTCCACGCAGTTCAGGCCCTTCGCGTGCAACCAGTCCAGGTGGGTATGGGCAGGGCCGCAGTGCGAGTCGCCAGCAGCGACCTGCCAGGAAACGGCTCGCGGGGGCGGGGGACCTGGCCGCCCACCCCCGTGGCGAGGCAGCTCGGGCCGATGGAGTCGCTGGGGACGGGAGCAGCGACGCAACGACTTAAGCGCTCCTTCGATTGGGACACATGTTACGTCTTCGCGCTGCGGCCGCCCGCTCCAGACTATACGTCCGTGATCGTGTTGCTCCTTACAGTCCTCCCGCGTCCTTCCAACCCCCTTGCATCCTTATCGCGCGTCCTTATGAGACGGGTCGACTGTGCCTCCATCCCCTTCCTCTTCATGCACTCGTTCATCATCGCGACGGGCCCTGGCCCCAGCAGGAGGATATTCCACATGGCCTTCGCGTGTGAGCTCGATTACGCCAAGCGCTTGGGGTGGTGCCGCCGCCGCCTCTTGCCTCTTGGGCCCCGCAGCTCCCGCCGCCGCTTGTGCCCTCCGCCTCCACCTGCAGCCGCCGCAGCGCCCCTGGTCGAGGGGCCGTTCGGGGGCGCGTTCCCGGTGACCACTTGGATTGCTCAAGGCCTCTTGTCGGGGCCCCCAAACGGGGTGGTGACCACACCGTGTGCTGAGTCGGTGGGGATTCGGGATCACCGCACGGATTTTGGACTCGAGTCCTTTTCCGAAGATCTCTCGGGCGACAGGGGCCTCCAGGGTCCCAAGACCGTTCCGTGACGGACCGTGCGGTGAGGTTTCTTGGGGTTCCGAGGTCACCGCACGGTTTGTCACCACACGCTTCTGGGACCCCCAATCTTCGCCGCTTTCACGGGCCAGCTCCGAGCCAAGACACGGTGCGTGGAGCACCTCGCACGCTCCTACGACGCCATCCTCCCGACAGCAGCGCACGGCGTGCCCAGAGACGCGGGGGCGTGGCGAGGCCCGCGTGATGGCTGCGCCCGGTGTTAAGTCAGGCATGTCCTTCTACAGGAGGAAAATTCAAAAGTACTCCAATGATACCGGAGAAAAAACCCGATGAGAGTCTTTTTTTGATCTTGCATGAGATCCCTTTGTGCTATAGGGCTATATGGGCCATTGGGCTATTGGGCTATAGGGCTATAGGGCTATAGGGCTATAGGTCTGTAGGGCTATAAGGCTATAGGGCTATAGGGCTATAGGGCTATATGGCAAAAGGGCTATAGGGCGATAGAGCACCCGGGCACCTGGGCACCAGGGCACCCCCGGGCACCTCCGGGCACCCCCAGGCACCTCTGGGCACGGGGGTGCCCGGGCACCCGGGCACCCGGGCACCTGGACACCCGGACACCCCCAGGCACCCGGGCACCCGGGCACCCGGGCTGGCCACCGAAATCGGCGACGCACCTCACCTAATCATATGAATCCGCTAGGACCCCTACACAGGCAAGCTCTGATTGGGGAAGATTAGTTAGGGGACGATTTTTCGACTATTCTTAATTTTTTCGATTATTTTTGGACTATTTTTGATTTTTCTTCCAAAATCCGCCTGTAGAGGACATGCCCGACCTGAGCCTGGTGGTCCCACGGAGTCGTCTGCCCGGGCAGGCGTGGGCATCGTCGTGCAGGACCGCCTCCTGGAGGCATTCCCGGAGCGCGATTGGCTCGAGATCGAGCCTGGACGGGCTGCGGCGCTCCGCCTGGGTTCGGCGACGAGCGGGGGGGAAGTTAGAGGAGGAAGGCCTTCTCAGAAGGCGGCGGGAAATCTCAGAAGCCCTCGCGCCTCCAGAGAAGTGTATTTTCTGTTTTCGGGGAAGGCTCAGAACACTTCTCAGAAGGCCAGGGGATATCCGAGCCTTCTGAGAAAGCCTTCTCCTTCTCACTTCCCCCCCTCCCTCGCTGCCGAACAGCTGTGGCACGGCCTCGAGACATGCATGCTCCGCAAGGCCACTGGACAGCCTCCGGGCGACATCCACGCGCAAGGCTTTTTCGAGATTGCCCCCTCGTTTCTGTCGCACGTTGGCAGTGCTGATGTGCGTGCAGCAGCGCATGCTTGCCCTTGGAGGCTGAGAAATGAGCACCAACACCAACACAGGGGTTTGCCTCCACATGGGGAAGATGATTCTATATTTCGGTGTTGGTGGCAATATTTCGGTCACCTTGGAAGCCACAACATTACCACCACCACCGAGACCGGGGTACTCTTCCCTCGATAGAGGCACACCGCCGATCTTGGTGTTGGTGTCAACCTCTAGGCCTGCCATGCCCCCTTCCTCCCCTCGCTCGCCGCCGGCGGGTGGTCCTCGGGGCTCTCTGGACTTGGCGGTCGTCTGCTTCCCCGCCGGCTCGCGCCCGCGTCGGGCGCGAGAGAGCCGGCGCCTGGGTGGCCCGTGCAGCGGCTCGCTCTCCCCCGCGCCAGCGGGCCGCCCTCCCCCCCTCCCCCCCGTTCGCTTTCCCTCCCCCGCCCTCCTCCTCCTCCTCCTCCTCCTGCCCCTCCGTCAGCATCCGACCTACCTCCGTCCTCCATCCCTCCGTCCCGCCGCCCTCCCTGCCCCCCCCCGAGGCTCGAGGTCGCGCGGGCGCTCCGCGCGGCGAGTGCACTGTCGGTCACAGCATGAAGTCGGGCGTGTCCCTCTACAGGAGAAGTGTTCCCAAATAGTCCAAAAACAAGGTCAGGGGACGATGTTTCGACTCTTTTTGGCTAGTCTTGAGGATTTTTTAACTGTTTATATGTTTTCCCCCCAAATCCGCCTGTAGGAGGACATGCCCGACCTAATCATAGCAGGGGATTTCAAGTGGGGCGAGAAGCACATTTTGCAAACAACCCGCCCTGCACCCGTGGAACTGCTGCAGGCTCTTGGGACGAACGTGCGCGGCGCTACAAGGCGAGATCGACTGAAAACAACCCGCCCTCCGTCGCTGAAACTGCCGCGAGCTTTGAAGACGAGTGTGCGCGATGCTAGGGCGATAACTCACATTTTGAAAAACATCCGCCCTCCATCCTTTAAGCGGATGCGAACTTGTAGGACGAATGTGCGCGGCGCTGAGGCGAGAGCCACATTTTTGAAAATGACCCGCCCTCCATCCGCGTAACAATTTCAGGCTTCAGGGCCATGCGTAGATGGTGAGGAAGGTGAGGAAGTCTCAGGCGAAATGCCTGGCCCGCCTCACCGACAGGTCTGGGGGTGCAATCGGGAGGAGTTATCCATGAGAAAAGGGATGGAGGAGCAGGAGGAAGGGGCAGGAAGTGAGGAAGTCTCAGGGATCATACATGGTGAGGAACTCTCAGGCGAAACGCATGGTCCACCCCACCGACACGTCTGGCCCTCCCCACCGACACGTCTGGGGATGAGACAGTGAGGTGTTACCGCGGCACGAGGAGGAGGAGGCGGAGGGGGATATCATCCTTCCGCCTTTCTCGGCGGCGGGGCCGACCTGCCCCCGAGTCACATCCGGGCGGCCCCGCCGTGCGAGGCGGCCGCCTCTCTCCCCGGCGCTGCCCGCAGGTCGGGCAGCGGCGCTCCGGCTCCGGGCAGCGGCGCTCCGGCTCCGCCCGCTGCGCCAGCCTCAGCTCGGCTCGGCGGGGATGGTGGTGATGGTGGTGATGACGGTGATGGTGAGGGTGGTGCTGCCGATTCTCACAGTCATGCTGCTGCTGCTGATGCTGCTGATGCTGCTGATGCTGACGGTGACGACGGGTAACGTGAGCATGATGATGGTGGTGGTGGTGATGATGATTGTCATGATGGCAATCAAGATGATTAGGATGGGGATGGTGGGGATGATGATGATGCTGCTGATGATGATGATGATGATGATGATGATGATGATGATTATGATGATGGTGAGAATGAGGATGAGGATGCCGATGATGATTAGGATGACGGTACACGGTGCAGATTGACGTAACCGCCACATTAATGTTGGTGATCGTGATGTTGACTCCAATGATGCCGTTGTTGTTAATGATGCTCATGATGGTGACAATGATGATGACGATGCTACTGATGATAACAGATACCAAGAATAGTAATGATGACGATGATGATGCTGCTGACGATAATGACGATTCTGATTATGATTATGATGATCATGATTATGATGGTTGTTGTTGTGGTGATGGTGATGACCATGATGACGATGACGATGATGTTGATGATGATGATCATGATGATGCCGCTGTTGATGATGATAGTGATGGTGACGGTGATGATGTTGCTGCTGATGACGGTGCTGATGCTGATGATGGTGATGATGCTGATGATGATGATGAAGCTGATGATGATGCCAATGATGATAATGATGATGCTGATTATGATGCTGATGCTGATGCCGATGATGATGCTGCTGCTCATGATGACGATGATGCTGCCGCTGATGATGCTGATGATGGTGATGGTGATGCTGATTAGCATGATGATGCTGATGATGATGCTGATGCTGATGATGTTGATGATCATGATGATTCTGCTGATGATGATGCTGCCGCTG